TTTTATGCCATAAAAACTGCACTAACCACACTTATAAATTATAAACTACAGTCATTTTTATTCAGACAAGATTTTAGTATGATAGTTCAAATTTTAACTTAAAAACAATGAAAATTTATTATTGTAGCAGATTGCATTAAGTAGTAAAACATTCCAAACAAAAATGATCAAATATATACAAACCAACTTTCATATTTACGTACACATTTATTCGCAACAGGAGTAGTATTCATTTATATATAATTAAGCAATTTTAATTACTAGATTCATAAGACGATCATTCGTTTCCAAATTCTTTAGCTTTGATAAAAAAGTCATATGCTATAAAGAATCAATTACACAAAAATATATATTTTTTAATTAAATTACCATTTTTATTATTGCTACATGAGCAAACAAGACATATCAAAATTTAAGTTATTTTACATTAGTCAAAAAAAAAAAGTACGGCAATATTTTTTATTCTATTTTACTGACATATAATAAATAAAATCTATAAAAACATTTGGTATTAAATTCTGTAATAAGACTTCATATTTATCAAGTTTGTATATGGTATTATTTTAATGGTATTTCGTCTTATATATTTATATATATAAGGTAATATTTTATTTCAATTTCATATATTACCGCTAAAATTTAACAGTATAAGACATTTATTCAATCAATTAATTAACAAATATTTATTAATAATAAATAATTTACTCCCAATTCTAATGAAATCAATTTAAATTTAAAAATTTGTTTTAACTTAAAATAATGAATTGACTGTTAAATATATATTCTAAACACAATCCCTCTAAAACCATTAAACCGTATAAATCGTGTAGATTAAGATTTTCGGATATTAAAATAGGCAATTGCAGAGTGTTTAAATAAAGCACACAATCCCTTATAATTCTTACAATTAAATGTTTTAAACAGTAGTTTAACGTCGAGTAATTTTTGTAATTAAGCACTTGAAGTGAAATTGACAGTAAATTGTATTTTATTAAATGTAACATTCGTATGATTTATTTCATATTCAACTGAACTCAACATGAACATCAGTTTATGATAATTCTCAAAGGTAATTGTAGAATCCCATAATCTAAGACATGCTCAGTTTTTATGTATTTAATTTTTAATCAATCTCATTTGCACAAAAATATCACTTGAGGAGCACAACAGATATCTACAACCACCGTGTGTTAACATTACACACAAGCTGTTTTCATAAAATGTTTTAAGATATGAATGTTTACCCTGATAATGGTGAGTTATACACAGAATGGTTCTAATAATATTAGCCATTCAAAATAAAACTTAAATTAACATTATAATTGAGTTTTACTTTTTTATTTTTAAATTTATCTGATATATATTTTATTATTATTGCTATTATTTTAACGATAACGTATACACTTATATTTTTTAAGAAAATATTTTTCAAACATGGTTAATTTAAAAAGTCTATTTATAAACTACAGAGTTTAATTTTTTATTTAACTTAAAACGTTTTTTTTTAATCAAATTTTCAAATTTTCAATCGTTAGTTTATAAGACATTTATAAAATATGAGTGTTTATAAATGTGGATACCTAGTTGGTTGTTTTTTTTATAACTTCAATATTGTTACAAAGTGATATTAGCAATTAAATCTTAATTGGCAGACATAATTAAGATAATGGCAGTCGATAAGACACAATTTTGTAATTCACAATTTAAAAAGCAATACCTGGTTAACACAAGCTCTATAACTCTAAAAATCGAATTGTCATGTTAAAGAAACAAATGAAGTGAAATACGAAATTCGATAGTCCTATACCAATTCTAATTGTTAACTGTTTTAAGGGTTATAAAATGTGCCACAATTATAAAGAATTATTATTTTGACTCAAATTTATTTTGATTCATTCAACAATTATCAACGCAGAAGTATAATTGATATAAAGCTGTGAATCGCACGCCATTTTTATGCACAGCGATTATGCAACTAGCACACTTTGTCGTGCGGAGTTGTGTTGGCGGTTTGGTAAAGCTATTCGCGCATCACAGGAGGAGGTTCTCGCCATCGACCCGTTTTCGGACCAGTAGCAGCAGCGCTAACCATCTGTACCACTGCTACCACCATATCGTAGTGAGAGGGCCCGTGAAATCCCACGGCTAGAGATAAAAGCTTTTAATTTCACCGGCAGATCAAAGATACAACAATGCTGACAGTGCGACACAACCGTGTGCGAGAGAGTTGCAGTTTATGAAAGCTACGGCAAAGAGCATATCGCAAGAGAGTAAGTATGCGCGTGCGGAGGAGGTGCGTCGTTGTGGAAAGGGCGTTATGAAAAACTTTCACTCTTGTCGCTACCATCACCAATATAACCAGCGTACCGACACATCACCACCACTTCACCCCTCTCGGATCCTTAACACCATAACACTGAGCTATATCATATATACGATATTTGCAAAGCTAAACCGATCGAAAATAACATTCACACGTTTAAAAAAGGGAAATTGTAGACGATTGCCCTTGTCATTGTAATTCTTGCTCTTTGGGTAGGATTTACACATAAACATCGCTGTCTTTATTTATATGATTATTTTATAAAATATTCAGTCCCGTGTCAAACCCAATCATGAAAAATGTATTTATAACTTGTGATAATAGAGCTAAATATTGGAAATTAACCAGAATTTTTGCACTCAAGTTCGCCATACAATCATGATGAATTTTTTTGAGTCGTAAACCATTTATAAGTGAACATATTTATATGATTATAAAAAACTTCGTAAGAATAAACATTGTATCGTAATTTAAAATTTATTTTTTTATTTTTAACAGAGATAACAAAATTTATTTTTATGACTATAAAATTTAATTGTACACATATGTAATTGACATGTGGGTTGCCCAACCCACAAATAGAAAATAATAAGGAATTTTTTAATATTTTTTTAACGCACTAATGTATTTATTATATACAAATAAATCGTAGAACTTATAGGTAATTTGACGTTGAAAACAATAATTAATATAAAAATTTTATTAGGTGAGATTTGTCCACTATGCATGTGTGAGGTCACCACCACTTACATTATTAACTATTATATTGTTTCTTAATAATCACTTATTTTCTTGTTTAACTAAGTGATGTTGTATTTCATACAAAAATAATAAACTGGCGACGAGAAAAACGTTTTAGCTTCCATGTAAGCTGAGAAGATATTAATTTTACTATGATGTTTTTTTTTTTTATGTCTGTCTCCACTTTTTTCTCGGCTCACACTGGACCGATTTCTTTCAACAATAAGACAAAAATCGTATTTAGTTGAAGACATTGCTCTTGAAAATTGAAAAAAAATTCTCTCGTCCTCTTTAAAAATGGAAAATTCACAAGAAAATTTTAATTTTTTAAGTCAGTAAATTTCGAATTTTTTTCTTAAAACTACCATAACTATTTTGAAAATGAATTAAACAAAATCATTTTTTTAATATACAATTACCTTTTATTTCAAGACGTTCATTGTTTCCGCCAATTATGATAAAGGTAGGTTTTTCGTTTCCACCAAACCGATAGTTTATACCTGTCTATAAATAGAAGCTTGAGAACCACTGGTTAAAATATTTACAAAAATGAATTAAATAATAAAATTCATTCTCATTTTTATGATCAATTTTTTAAAGCGCACTCATCTATTAATATATCTTTTAAATTTTAATAGAAAATATTTTGTCTTATGATTACATTAAAATATATAGTTTTGTTAATGCAGTCTTAACAAGCGTACGGAATAAAATTGAAATCCAATTCAAAAAAACAAAGGAGACAATTGATAAATTTAATAAAAATGAAATTAGCCGATTTGAATTTGTGAAATTAGTTTTCAACAACTAGTGAAAAATATATAGATCATCGATCTATTTTTTATTATATTATTACCCGTATTAGATATTATGTAAACTTATTATTAATATAAAAATTTTTGGAGGCGAATGTCATTTGATAATGGTAGGACAAAAAATTACTTTATTTTGCTCATTAATATTAATACCCCATGCAAAAAACTTAAATACAGACCTGAACGTAACATTCAATAAATGCCAAACATTTTGGTACTCGCAAGCTACCTAACCTGTCCGTACGCTAAAACCGATACTGGCTCGTGATGACCTATGGATAAAACTAATCGGGTTCTCAAATTTTTTAGTATATAAACAGGTAAAAGTCAGTTTGGCAGAAACGAAAAACCGACCTTATTTCATATAAATTACTTGAAAATCTAACCCTTTACCTACCCACAAGAGAAGATTCAAAATAGCAATTTCTACACAAAAATTTAACTTTTACAACTAAAGTTTAAAAATATACCGGAAATACTACGAACTTCAAAAATATATTAAAATAAAGCGTATATTATGTAATAGTAGTTAAGAAATTAATTTGTCTCAACGACCTTCTCTATTTTTGTGTTGAAATAATCGATTTTCAACTTAATAAATGAATTTAGAAAGTATATTTTGGTTTCAAATGAGAATTCCTTTTTAAGTAGTAAAATAGTTTTATATTATAAATTTATTCATAAGCAATAAACAATTTTTTTTTTTTTAAATTTGCATCAAACCTTTTAATTTTTATACACATTTGCTATAAAAGTAACAACTTCTTTTTACTAAAAAACTAATTTTTATAATTTCTTTATAAAAAATATAATATTAATTTATTGAACATCATTTTCATACTAAGTTTAATTACTATAATAAATATTTATTAATACATTATACTTATAAATCAAAAAATTACTAATCAGGATATAAATAAGTAAATAGGAGTTAATGGTGCTTTTGTAATAGTCCACCAATTTCTTAAATTAAACACTATCTACAGATTTACATCGAAGCGTTTTTTACTATAGTGATTTTAATTATCTGTACGCGTCCCAACTTTTTTTTTTAAATTATACAATCTATATAATGAATTTTAATAAATACTAATTAATCAATATAAATCATATATCTTTAATTAAAATTTCTATTATGTACTAAAATGACTATTACGAAAACATCGATGAGTTCTAGTCAAATTTAAGGTAAAGGGGCCAATTAGAATCAGAAATGTGTGTAGCCATTTTCAAATCAAATTTGATAAATTTCTTTTTGTCAAATGTAATCGAAAACGAAATATAAAAGGAAGCCATTTTGTTATCTACTGTAAGTAAAGATGTTCACAATAATATTTTTTTAACTTTTGAACTAGTATTTTCGAAATTATTAGCACTTTATTATAATGTCTGGAAGTAAAGCAAGAGACTATTAATTTTAATCTCTAGCACTTATTAGCCGTACTAATTTTTTTTTTGAAAAGTATAGTAAATAGGATATTGTTAACTTTTAAAAAGATAAAAAAGTTAAATATGTTTTATACTTGTGCGAGGCATAGCTTAGAAATCATTCTGTATATCTGTGGTACATATCCAAAAGCTGATGAGTGGCAAAAATTTAATTTTTCAATTTTCATAACTTCTTTTTCTTCTTGGCATTACAACTATTCAAGAGTTTTTGCCGCCACCGACACCGCCTTCCACTCCTCTTGATATTGTATTTAAATTTTTATATATTTAGTATAACCAAATATGTTTTCTGTCTTGTGCCTAAAAAGTGACGAGTTAATTTAATCGAGAAGGTTTCGCATTGTAAATTAGAATTTCATTACTAGGAATACATATTATCAGGCAAAACAACATATAAATGAATCAGTTGCGGTATGGGATTTTACGTGTTAAATACCTTGTGTCAAAAAGTAAATACTCGTCAAAATTAACTATTGTTATGCATTACATATTTATGGTTAGAATAATAACTGGTAAAGAACACAAAAGACTTTTCTGTTATACTGCAAATCCATTTGAAATGAAATTTCAAAAGGTTATTGAAATTTCCACAGTAGAAACTAAAGATATTTAAGTGTTTCAAGGTGACATCATAGTGGTGAGAAGTACAATTAAAAAACACAATGACAGATTGGATGCATTAAAAAATGATTTATCTAGTTGAAGTTTGATGATAAAGTTAAAGAAATGTAAGTTTTTATAAAAATCAAATGAATATCGTGGTAAATGAAAAGGACAAACTATAGTATTCGCTATTCAAAAATATAATGGTTTTTTTGTAAGCTAAAATTTACTTTGATTACTGTTACACATATTTTAGGTCAAAAAAGATATTTGGGTAAACCCAAAAAATTCTTTACAACACTGGGTATTTTTTTATATTTATCATTTGATTTTGCCATTAAGTATATCAATTCAAAAAAATATACATGATTAACTTTTAAGAATTAAAATAAATAGCAACAAATGGGATAATTATGAAAGCATTCATTTAAATTTTATTCATAAAAATTCGCCATTTCAATTAGAATAGTCTAAAATAAAAATTAATTCCGCTTAAATGAAAAAGAGTGGTAACAGACACAAAAAAAAATAATCGTTTTGACTAACGTCAAGTAGACTAGATTTAGTTGGAAGTTTAAAAGGTCATAGGTATAAATGTTAAAAAAAACTCAGCACACTTGGGTCACGACACGGTGGGAACGTGACATAGTTGAGTCCAGTATAGTTTAATCTGACAGTGATTAAAATCACGATCATTAAAAACGCTTCGATGCAAATCTGTAGATTGTGTAATTTTAAAAAATTCCTTATTTTTATACTGTTTACAAGTTTTATGATTTATAAGTATAATATATGTATAAATATTTATTATAGCAATTAAATATAGTATGTACTTGACAACTTTTATAGCAAACGTATATTAAATTTACTGGTCTACAAGAAATTTTCATCCGAGACCCAAATGTACTTTTCTAAACCCATTTTTGAGTTTATTTTAAATCTTTAATTAGAGTTTACCATTTGAACTAAATTGTAATAATATAACAAATATTTATGTTTGAGTATTACGTATTATTATTATTATGTTTACGTATGAATAATCATTAAATATATTTTAATTAAAAGTAAGTGGAAAAAGTTCTTTCTATACAAAATTTTATAAGTTTACCTCTGTAAAAAGAAAAATGGTCCGATTTAAAAAAAAAGTATATCACAAATAAGAAGTATATAATTAGTACTAATCATAAAAAAAAACAGCACAGTGGGGTTGCGGCACAGTTGGCACGGGACATAGTTAAGTCAAGTATTATGATATCTGACAGTGATTAAAATCACTATCATAAAAAACGCTTCGATGCAAATCTGTAGATGATCTCCTATTTCCTTATTTATATTCTGATTTCAAGTTTTATGATTTATAAGTGTAATATATGAAAATATACATATCTTCTTCTATTTTAAAGGCTAAGCCTTTTCATAGCTTTATGTCCTGGGAAAATTAAGTGCAGTGGTTTCCCGTTGTCTTCTGCACTGAGAACATGGTGCTTTTTCGCCAACGTAGAAGGGCACTCATGGTCACCCATCCGTTTACCTACGAAGGTAGGCGCGGCTTAACACAAGAGTTTTATCAACTATTAGTGTGACCACTGCACCACACCACGCTCATATACATATAAATATATTTATAATATTTAATATATAAAGGTAAATGGTTTTATTTATAAAAGAAGTATGTCGAATGAAAGAGGTATATAAATAGTATTTATCATAAAAAATTGTATTGATCCATATATTTTTCAAAATGTTATAGCATTATAAAGTTAAAAATGTAAAATATAAAATTGAAAATTTTAACACAAAAATAACATACGGTAGCCATTTTCACGATGAAGACAAAATAAATATTACATAAGCTTTAATTAATAAGCTTTATTACATGAGCTAATTTAACATAAGCTTTAAGGTATATATAAAAGTGTCAGGATTTTCGTAACACTTTCAAGAGTTAATTTTTATGAAAAAATTTACATTTTTAATCTCCTCTGGGAGCAGGTAAAGAGGTCAGATTTATAAAAAATATACCAAAGAATGGGTAAAGACATCATGCATCTATAAAAAAAAATTGTATTGATTTGGTGATTTTTGATTAAGTTATGGCAGTTTTAAGTAAAAAAATTGAAAAAATAGTGATTTTTAAATTTGTATTTTTTTGAGATTTTCTCAATTAAAATACGAGGAATAAGGAAAATTTTTTCAATATTTGAGGGTAATGTCTTCGACTATATATAATTTGTGATCTTTAGACAAATCGTTGAAAAAAATCGGTTTGGTGAAAGCAGAGAAAAAGTGGAAACAAACACAAAAAAAAACACATCACAGTAAAATTAATACCTTCTCAACTTCGCTAAAAATAAAAAAAAACACATCATAGAGACATTAATACCATATAATCTTCGCATTGAAGCGAAGAAAAATATAGAATTTGAACTCCATTTGTCACACAGATATGACAAGTATGAAAATAACTGATAATATATTAGCGGTATTGATTTCAAGAATTGTTGCAAAAATAGCTAAAGCTATTAACTATTTTTATAAAAATATTTTAGATAGACAAAATCATATTTTACTGATTAGATGCCAAAATTGTCAAATAAATTTCTGATGATTTATAGAAACATACAACAAAACTCAGAACGTGGGCTAAATTAATTTTAGGTCAATCAACTAGATCAATATTTGATTTTTTAATTCCTAGTACTAATAATATAATAGTGGATATTTAAATATTTTAAATAATACAGGGAACAGAAATACAAGTTTTAAAAAGTTGAAGCGGAAGTAATCGCGTATCAAACTGCAATTCATCGATGTAAGGAAATTAAAATCGATTATTAATAACTGCTAAATTAAACATTGTGTCTTTTTGAAGTGAGTTGAATAACTTCTTTCATTTTATACATTTCTATTATTTTTAATATTTATAAAATTTCTATAGCTTCACAAAATTTATCATATTTACGGCACTTTAATATTTATGCATATCTATAGTATCTCAATATTAGCTAGGTTATAAAATAAAAAATGACTGGACAGGAATAGCTTTTGATCGGCATTTCAAAAGTTATAAACATTTTTATGCGTGAGAAGAGGAACGGACAAGAAATATCTAATGAAAAATATTCTTTAGAAGCACCTCACGTCCAGTTTATATTTTAGAATATTTAAGTTGTTATTTAAAAAAATAAAATTGACAACCTTTTAGGTTTAAGGATGTCAATAGGGGGTGAGTATGGTTACTTAAACAAGTAATTAATTAATGATAATTTAAAAAATAAATTGCAAAATTAAAAAATACTAAAAAAAAATTTCATAACATATTTAATACTTTAAGAAAATTGAAATTCTTGCATTAAAAAATCACTTCGTATATCTCATAAATATTTGTAGCAAGAATTTTTTCTGGCATTTATTATTATACAATATTATATCACATAATATAATCAGGAAAAGTTAACTGCATAAATGGCGTAATAACAAAGAAAAATCCATTAATATTTCACTAGTGGTATGATTTAATAATAATTGCAAAATTGAAAAAATTTCATTTTCCATTTGAACAACTGTGTGAACGCAAATATATCAAAACGTTATTTTGAGATAATATCGATATATTTTAATGTTATGGAAAAAGAACATAAAACTACAAGAGAAGTGTCCTTTTTTTTAATCGATGATTTATTCAACTTTTACTGCGTCCACTCATCGAAGAACTCAGTGTTTTAGTTTATCTTCTTTAAGAATTTAAAAAGAACATTTAAAATTAACAATAGTACCGTAGATTTTTTTATTTTTTAATGATAAATCAATTTGACTATTAATTCATTAATAATAATCTTACATCTATTTGTTTCAAAAAACTCACTATTGTGGTGATCTAATATTTGTATATTAGATCAGTAATTAATAAAACATTTTCTGTATTTGTTGCTAAATAAACCCAAAGCACTAAATAAATAAAGATAATTTAAAAAGTCAAACAATTGCAGTATTATGAAAATAAAACAAATAGCACATTTGTAAATATTATTAATAAGTTATTAAAAATTTTCTATCATTACTATAACAAGTTATTTTAGCTTAATGTAAAAATAGCAAATATTGAAAATTGATTTATTAGTTCTTAAAAGTTTAAAACAACTTACAATAAAATATATTTACATTCAATGAATAAAATAGTTAAGTATTGTTGCCAGGAGGTACTAACGTTAATATAAACAGTTAAAACTTAATTCCTATAATTTAAGACAGTTATATTATTACTTTAAATATTACTTATCGATGATGAAAAAACTGTACAGTCAAATAATGTAATTCATGTATGAATAATAAATCCTGAGTATACATTGTTAAAAGGTATAAATTTGAACCGTAATTTCAATTGAACAACTATTTAAGCACCATTACATATCTGATGTTTTATACTCTTCATATACTATTTAAAATAATATTGGTTAAAATCGAAAATTATATTCATAACGTTATGTAACATTCTCAAATGGAAGACATAAACAGTATCCACTAGATGGCATTGCAAATATAAAAATCTAATATGTAATAGTAAAACTGCAGTATTAATTTCACAAACATATATGTATAAAAAGAAAACATATTTAGTATACAGTACAGTATGGTATACAAAATACACGTTGAACATATTTGAGGATAATAAATGTTGAAATTGAATTTTCTGGACA